CCAAACTGCTCCTCTCACACCCTCCAGGGGGGAAACCAGCCTTGCCATCCACGCAGCTGCTTCGGCCAAACCCTGCTGTCAGCCTCCATTCCTCTCTCCCCACTGCACATACGTGACACAGCTACCACTTCAGCATGTGCCAGCATCTTCACTCTTCCAAACCCTCCAATGGCCTTCTAAATGGACCATCCTGTTCCTACTCTTGCCCCATTAGAGTTATTTCTCAAGAGAGTAGCGAGAGTGATGATTTTTAAACGATTTAACAGTTAAATCAAGGTTGCATATCCATACATTGGAAGATTATTCAGCCCTGAAAAGGAATGCAGCACAGATAGATGCTTCAATGTGAATGAACCTTGAATACATTACACTGAAAGAAGTCAGACACAAAAGGCCACATAGTGGATGATTCCATTGATATGAAAGATATGAAAGAGGTAAATCCAGGGAGACAGAGCAGATCTATGGTTGCCAGGAGCTTGGGAAAGGGGAAATGGGTTCCACTTACTAGGCATGGGGTTTTCCTTTGGGAATGGAGAAAATGTTTTGGAAATAGAGGTGATGGTTGTACAACACTTAATGTACTAAGTGCTACTGAACTTTATACTTTAATATAGTTAATTTTGTTACATGAATTTCACCCAATAAGAAAAAGAAAAAATTTTAAAATTAGAACACAGCACATTCTTTGCTTAAAACCTTCCAGTTGCTTCCCAACACAATAACATCCAAACTCCTTACCCCCAGGCCCTCATGATCGGGACTCTGCTCTGGGACCTTGCATTCTCCCTCACCCACTCCCCACCAAACTATGTGAGGGAGGTAATGTCACCCCCTGTTTTAGAGGGGAGATTGAGCTCAGAGAGATAAACTGGTTTGCCAGGGATCATGTGCAACCTGAGGCTGGCTCTGCCTGGCTCCTAACCAGCTCACAGCTGTTGGCCAGGTGCCATGTGGCCACCCAGACCCTCCTTCAGGACGGAGCACTCGCTGCCCAGCCGCAGAGTGCTGGAGGCCGACCACTCTCAGCTCTGGAGTGAAAGAACCCCCTCACCCAAGGTCCTGACCCTCCCTGATGACAGTCCCCTGCAATGATGTATAGATGGGAGTATAAAGGCTTTCTCCCTTACCTCAGGGGATGCCTTCGATGGCCATCCCAGCTCCAAAGCAGTCCAAGGGACAGCTGAAGCCCATTCATAATTGCATCATAGCTCAGTTCCTTCCTCTGCTCAGGCCTGCTCCTTCACTCCCTAACAGGGCTGGTTTCCCAGGGCACCCCAATATACCTCCTGCCTACTAGGCTCCACCTCAAAGTCTCTTCCTGGGACCCAGCCTAAGACATCTGCTCTGCCTCAAGGGCCCGGCTGGAGGGCCCAGACTTTATCTTGCAGGCCCTGGGATGCTACAGCTAAAGCATGCAAGTGACAGGTCAAATTTGCATTGTAGGAAGATTCCACTGGAATAGAGGGGGTGTGGTGAGGGGCCTGTAGGACAGTGAGGAGGAAGTGAGAAGGACTGGGCCTGAATGCACACCATAGCAGTGATGGCAGGGAGGCCATTCCGGCAGTGGCCACTGGGTGGAATAAATGGACCGTAATTCTAGACTGGCTGCTGAGTCCTGCGTCTGGCTGGGGGTGAGTCAGGGGATGCCGGTGCACTGGGCTATCTTCCATCTGGAAGTCACTCAGCTCTGGGCCAGGCTGTTGGGGTGCCAGCCCTGGCTCTGCCTGATACTAGCCATGTGGCCTGGATATGGTACCTTGGGGTCCATTAGAAAAAACTGGGCTAATACAGGCCCTCATTATGGAATGGCCATGAAGAGTCAAAGAGTTAACACATGTTCAAAAAGCTTGGCCAGGGCCTGGCTGGTGTACTCACTTCAGGCTTCCCAAGTACCTTCAGGATGTCTGGAAAGGGCACATGCCTTGGGTCAGAACCACCTGGGTGCTCTGTGTGTGTGTGTGTGGGGGGGGGGAGTAGGGGGAAAGTACCTTCACTGATGTGCCCCAGATCTCACACCGGTAGGAGGGTAGTGATCCTCTGGGCCATGAGGGATTGTTAGGAGGAGGAGGTAACACTTTATAACTTCCTGGCAAGTGGTATGAAGTCAACAAATGCAGCTGCTGCTGCTGTGAGGCTGGTGGGAGCATCTGTGCAATGCTCAGCACACTCGGCCATCCCACGGCAGGCAGCTGAGCCTGGGCAAGGCCAAACCCCGCCTGTCTTTGGCGCTGCCAGCCTGTTCCTCCTCCAGTGTTCTCTCCCTAAATGTCACTGCCATCGCCCAGCTGCCCGAGCCAGAAACGAGAGGAACGCCCACGTCTTCTCGCCTATATCCCCCAGCCCGCACTCCAGCCTCCCCTGGTCTCTATATCTGTGGTCCCTTACCTCTCTGCTGGTCATCCTGACCCCCCTACCTGCTACTCCCACCCCACTGATTCTCTTTTCTCACTTAAGCCAGTTCAAACCCTGAGGGGAGAGGGGCACATCCTGTGGAGCCACTCTTTTACCCATTCAGTAAGAGCCAGGTCAGGCCAGGCCTGGCCACTATATTCCCAGGGTATAGTTCAAGGCCTGGTATACAGTAGACACTTAATAAATGCTAGCTGGCTGGAGAATGGACAAATGCATGAATATAAGTATGTGCTGGCTGGCAAGCTTATATAAACACTGAGTGTTAAGTAGAAATAACATTAACAATAATATGAATAGGGCATCTCCACACAGCACCCACCACCTGCCAGCCCTGTTCTAAGGCCCTACCTGGATTAACTCATTTCACATGAATGACAGCCTGCATGCTAACACCTGTTGTTTTCCCAATTTTAGTTGAAGAAATGATGTCACAGGGAGGTTAAGTAACTTGCCCAAAATCACACAGCAAGTGTGCAGCAAAGCCAAAATTCAAATGGGACTAAAGACCACAACTGATCTGTGTTACGCTCTCCCAGGTACCATCGCACTAAATTCTCCCACAATCCTGTGGGGCAGGCCAATGCACAGCTGGTTAAGACTCTGCCCAAGGTCATGCAGTTGTCAACAGGATTATCCCACTACTTTTTTGTTGATGAATGAACTGGTGTCCAGTTTAATAACTTTAGTTGGGGGGCAACTGCCCTGGAGTCTGCTTATTTCTGGGGGCCTTGACTGAGCTGTGGAAATGAAGGTCATGCGGAAACTGGACAGTGGGGTGGGTGCTAGGCACCAGCTCTCACACTCCTCACCTCCTGTCTCCTCAGGTTCTGGCTGCAGGGCCTTTAAACCACATGGGGCAGAAGCTTTCAACCTGGCAGCCTGCGGAACTGTGCCTCGGGCCTGCCTGTGGGGTGGGGTTGGAGAGATCCAGGACACGAGGGACACCCCACCCCCCTTCCACCAGAGCAGCTCCGCTTTGTCTAGGGTTCTGAGGGCGCTTTCAATTGGAAAAAAAGGTTCTGTAGTCAAAACTACTTTTGAAAATCTGTGCCCTATGGGATAAATGTCCTTGTCAAGCAAAGTGGTTTTCTCAAGTCTACCCTAGTGACATTCAGGGGCTTGGATGCAGTGAATTCTGGGATGGAAAAGGTAGGAGAGAGAGAATCTCCAGTGCCCTTAGCCAAGTCCAATGTCAAGGTTGCCCTGACCATTCATGGCCATAGGTCCTTGCTCTGCACACCTGCCTGGGTATGCCCCAAGCTGGGGCCTGTTTGTCTCCCATGTTACAGTCCTGCCTCTGGGCATTTGCCCACAGCTTCTAGTGCCTGGACTAAAAGGAGAAACTATGGCCCTGGCCAGTTTGGCTCAGTGGATGGAGCATCGATCTGTGGACTCCAGGGTCCCAGGTTTGTTTCTGGTCAGGGGCATGTACCTTGGTTGCGGGCACATCCCAGGAGGCAGCTGATTTGTGTTTCTCTCTCATTGATGTTTCTAGCTCTCTCTCTCTTTCCTTCCTCTCTGTAAAAAAAAAAATCAATATATTAAAAAAAAACCACAAAAAAAACATAGAGGAACTATGTACGGGCACCCCTTTCTAACAAGCAATGTGTGCGGTGATGTCCATTTCCTGTAGCCCTCACTCCATCCCAGGGAGGAAAAATTGAGGTTTAGAGAAGAGAAATGACACAGTGAACACTCAAACCCAGGTTGGTCTGATGCTAAAATATTCTTTCCAGTGTACCCTTACCTGTAACCTCTAGGGCCCTGCCTCTCTCTCCTCACCTTAATCCAAATCCTGCCCACACTCAGAGCTCGCTGGCACTCCAAGTGTGCCCCACTCTCTCTTATCCCCCCACCTTTGCAAATGCCATTTCCTTAGCTCCGAAAAACAATGCCCTCCTCCCTTACCCCCTTCATCTTTCTGACTCCACACCCTTTGAGTGTCCACTTGGGTGTCACCTCTTCCAGGAAGCCTTCCCTGGATGCCTGGCTAGGTAAGAAGCCTCCTCTAGGACTGAACTTCCTCCATCATAGCCCCAAAAGCTCTGTCTTGCAGTTATTTGTTTTTCTGCATTCTAAGGAGACACTAAACTCTTGGCGGCAGGGTCAAGATCCAATGTGCTCACCTGTGCTACCAGCATGGTACAAAGACAAAGTAAGTGCTCAATAAACATTGAAGGAGCAGACTTGATTTCTGCAATGTGCCAGACTTCCTGGCAGGTGCTGGGCATAGCATACAAACGAGGTATAGTCTCTGCTCTACTGGCCCAAACCCTGCCTTCCTCTCAACCTACTTGTGCTCTGCCTGCTTCCCACTCCACATCCCTTTCATTCACTCAAACCTTTGAGCACCAGCTAAGCCATGGTGGCATGGGGGAGCATTTGGCAAATGTCTGGGACCTAGGAAGTGACACACCAGCCAGGCACATGTGCACGGTACACCATGGTGTAAGGAGCCCCCAGGAACTCATTCCTCTTCTGTTATGTGTCAGGCTGTTTCTGAGATTCCCCTTGTGCCCCCTGCCACTCTCCCTTGCCCCATAGGCTGTGAGTCCTTCCCCAGCCCTAGCCCAGTGCAGCCGTACCCGGTTGATGAGCTCGCCAACCATGCCCGTCCAGGAGCCATTGGGCTCGGGTGCCCCGTACAGCCCGTCCTCCACCAGCCGCAGACGATAGCGGAAGCGCAGCAGCTCAGCCAGCTCCCGCAGCATGTCCACGCAGAAGCCCTCAAAGCGCTCATTTCCCGACAGGGCCTGGAAGTTGGGCCTGCGCATGACGTATGGATTTTCCTGGTAAGGCAAGCGGGGAGAGGGGGTCAAAGTCCGGCGTCTGGGTCAGGATCCTGGAGCCCAGGCTGTTCAGCTAGATCCAGAATCTGCTGAGTGGGAAACAGGCCTGAAAACCAGGGGCAACAACACATGGACTCTACCAGCCTCCAGATCACAGGTGCCATTTTAATCTCCACCAGACAATCTGACATTCATTTGTCTCAATCTCAAATGCCTCTGAGGCAACCTAAGAGTGAATCAGACTGGATGGAGGTCATGCTGAGCTGAAACAGAGTCTTTCAAATTTCTGACTATGACCCACAATGAGATTCCTTTTACTCTGCTACCCAAACCACACACATATATGCGCATGTACTCACATGCCGTATCGAGACTTGGTTCCACAAAACAGCCTTGTGCGATGGCAGTATACCCTGGTATGTTCTGTTCTGCTCCATATTTCCCCCACAACATGTAGTGAGCCACTGAACTGAGTTCATGAGCCGGCAAGAGACTGAGGGAGATGGGCCTGAGATGTCAGATGGCCCATCTTGAGAGAATTTGGAAACCCAAGAGGTTTAGTAAGATCTCCTAATTATAAAGGTTAGGCACAATTCAAATTCTATTAACATTTTTAAATGTGCAGGCTAAACAAACACCTGACAGTTTGCAATCTCTGGCCTTGAGCTGGTTCTTATGATGATGCTTATTTCTGAGAGATTTGAGCAAATTTTACTGACTCCCATCATGTCAAGTAAGTGCAAAAGTTGAGAGAATATGCCAAGTGCTGGTGGAATGAGGCCTCCAAAATGCCCGTAACAAAAGGGATACTTACCTTGACATAGTCATTTTCTAAGTGGCTATTTGTGTGGTATCCCTGTAGCCTTAGGAACAAAAGGAGTCAGGACTTAGGAGAGTTGGGCCGGTGCTCTGGCAATAACAGCCATGACAGTGAGCATGTGCTGAGAGCCTGCTGAGTGCAACCCCTGTGCTGCATGTGTTCTCGGGATTGTTTCCCTTTGATTCTTCAGTGACCTTTCATGGGAGGGGTTATTACACTTATTTTGCTCATGGGGAAACTGAGGCTCACAGAGGTAAAGTGACCTGTCACCTCTGTTATTCAACACATCATTCCTGAGCTCTAAGGCAGATGTGGCTGCAATATTTTGCAGTTCCTCCCAGAGATAGAGCCCATTTCCCCGCCCCTTGGCTCTGAGATGACCTCAAGATTAGCTTTGGCCAACAAAACGCGGTGCAAGTGATGCTGTGTGAATTCTAGAGCCGGGGCCTTCAGAGCAGCCTTCAGGGACGGCTGTGTAAGGAAGCTCAGGCCCGTCTGCTGAAGGACGAGTGAACCAGCAGCCAGCACCCACAGCCACTCCAGATCTCCCAGCCCAGCCTAACCACTGTGGGCACGGCAGGCAAGGGCGGGCAGCAGAAATGCTCTGTCGACCACAGAATTGTGAGAAATAATAATAATTATAGCTGTGAGCCTCCAGGTTTTGAGGTGGTTGCACAGGTAAGTACAGTGAAGCCAGGTTCTGTTATGAGCTCTGGATTCCAGGACCCCACAAAGGCTCTCAGTTGAGGGGTGACGAAATGTAGGGAAGTTGGTGCTTTTTTCCTCTCGACCAAGCTGCCTTTTCAAATCCAAAACTGTGGAACTGGGGGTAGGAATGTGAGATGCTACTAATAATAGCGGCACAGCTAGTGTTTCCTGTGGGCTCGCTGTGACAGCTATTCTGTCAGCGTGGGAGGTGGGTATTATTACCTCTGCTTTAGAGATGAGGACACTGAGGTCCCGAGAAGTGAAGATGCTGAGATGGACAGTCAGTCTGACTCTGAAGCTCTGCCCTGTGCTAGACTGAACTCAAGTGGACAGAATCCGAGATCAACATGGGAGACCCCAGACATACAGCTGGGGACCCAGATCAGATCAAAGCTGGAGAATCAAAAATCAAGAGTTATCTAGATAAGCACCCACTGTTAGCTGGAAGGCTCTACTACAGCTCTCTTGACATGCAAAGGAGGAAACAAGCTCAGGGAGATCAAGTGTCTTGCCCAAGGCCACACAGCAGAAGCAGGACAGTGGAAAGAGGAGACTGGGAAGATCTGGGATTCAAAATCCAGTTGCTGTGGAGTCATATCTCCTTGTTCCTTCCAGCAGGTCAAGCTGATCTCCAGATTCAAGATTGAGGCACTTGGGCTGTGGATTTAAGGCCTAAGGACAAGGGCCTGGGATTATAGGGCCAGAAAGAGGGCCTGTGCCTATGAACAGAACTCAGGATCAGAAAACAATGCTGTAGGACTCAACCTGGACCAGCAGAACCGAGGCTCTTAAAGGAGCCTCTAATCCAAGGTTTTCAGACTTCTTCAGGGACCTTCTGTGGAAGCACTGCAGACAGACAGTGGGCTGTTGCTAAGTCTGGGTTAAGCATTCATACTACAAATGGCTGTGCACCTGGACACAAAAATGCAGGTCCCAGAGTCATGGCAGCATTGCTTGTAGTGGGAACAAAGACTGGAGCAACCTAATTTGGGACAGGTTTAAAAGACTACTGATGTCATCAAAGTATCCCAGGCAACTACTAAAATAACAAGTTCTCTCAGATCTATTAAGAGGGGAAAAACAAGCAGAATGTGTACAATATGCTACTCTTGGTGAAGGAAAGAGTGGGAACATGCTTGTATATGCAGACCTTTTTGGAAGGATGTGGCCTATGGGGAACTGGAGAGAAAAGGAGACTGATTTTTCACTCCTTATCCCCTCTTTGAATTCCATTTAATTTAGATTTATATTACCATTTGTTCCTACACCGGTTTAAAAGTTTGAATAGTAACTAGTAAAATATTAAAAATTTTTGAATGTCAGAGATAAGGGAGGGGAGTGGACTGACAATTCTCGGGGAGAAGGTGAGTGGTGGAAGTGGGAAGAGACTGAACATAAACTGTGCACCTATGGATGAGGACAGTGGGGGGTGGGGAAAGGACAGAGGGTGGGGTGGGAACCTGGTGGAGGGGGGAAGAAATGAGGAACCTTTGTAATAGTATGAACAATAAAGATTGATTTAAAAAAATTTTTTTTTGAAGTATGACATTTAAATACAGATGGAAATTAAAGGGTCAAGAACCAAAGCAATTCTAAAGAACATGAAAACCAGAGGATTTATCCATCAGATATTAATACTTAACTTACAGATATGGTATGTAAGACAATATGGCATGACAGCAAAACTGGACAAATGGACAGAGAACAGAATGTGGGAAACCCACACATGAGTGGATACTCAGTGATGACAAAGGCAAGACTGTGGTGAAGGGGTAAAAAAAAAAAATGACCATTTTGTTCTAGCTCGTTTGGCACAGTGGATAGAGCATCAGCCTGTGGACTGAAAAGTTCCATGTTCGATTCCAGTCAAGGACACATGCCTGGTTGTGGACTCAGTCCCCAGTAAGGGGCATGCAGGAGGTAGCCAATCAATGATTCTCTATCATCATTGATGTTTCTATCTCCCTCTCCCTTCCTCTCTAAAATCAATAAAAATATATTTTTTTTGAAAAGAATGACCATTTTAATAAATAGTGCTATTCAACCAAGTATATTCATAAGGTAAATAAAATATATTCTGATCTCCTACCTCACATAATACATAAAAATTAATTCCAGGTGGATTGTAGATCTAAATATAAAAGGAATATTTGTTAATTTTAGAAAACAAATAGACTTTATGACTTTGGTCCAGAGTATTATTAAATTCTAAAAGAATTAACCATAAAGAAAAAAGAAAATGAATAAGTAAAATTAAAAATATTTTTATTCCCCTGGCCAGTGTGGCTAAGTGGGTTGGGCATGGTCCCATGCACTAGGAGGTTGCCAATTTGACTCCTGGTCAGGGCATATGCCTGGGTTGTGGCTCAATTCTGGGTGGGGAGCACATAGGAGGCAGCTGATCGATGTTTCATCAAAATATATTTGATGAAATATAATTTCATCAAAATATATCATTGGGGGGCCTGGCCGGTGTGGCTCAGATTATGGTGTTGTCCCATATACTGAAAGATTGTAGGTTTGAATCTTGATCAGTGCGTACATGGGAGGCAACCTATCAAGGTTTCTCTCTCAGATGGAGGTTTCTCTCTCCCACCCTCTCCTTTCCTCTCTAAAATCAACTTAAAAAATATTCTCAGGTGAGGATTGAAAAATGTATCATTGGGGGGGAAAACATACAAGTGAGAGGGCAAAGCAAGTCACAAAGACATCTGTAATACATATTTCTACAAGGGATAGTACCCTTTACAGAAGGAATCCTACATAATAATAAACTAATATGCTAAATAGACCCAACAGTAGAACAACTATCTGGACGACCTTCCAGATGAAGCCAGGTCTGCAAGGGCCAGCCAAGGCTGGGAGGGGCTGCAAGGACTAAGCCCCTTGCACAAATTTCGTGCATAGGACCTCTATGTATATAAATAACTCACAAACAAATAAAAAAGTCATATATCCCAATTTCTAAAAAACAATAAAAGACTTGAGCAGAGATTTTCCAAAAGAAGATTTCCAAATAGCTAATAAACAGAAAAAGGTGGTCAGCCTCCCTGATCATTAGGGAAATGTAGGTGAAAACCAGTGTAATTAGGTCCTGTAAATACTCACCACTGGGAAAAATGAAATGTTCATTCTCACACTACTGGCGGAAGTGCAAAGTGGCACTGCCACTATGGACAACACTCCGGCGGGATCTCCTAAAGCTGAGAAGACTCAGCAATTCCACTCCTGGCTGAACACTGGACGGAAGCGCTGAGCTCACCAGAAGGCATGTAGTAGGTGTTCATGGCAGGACTTTTCATAATAGAAAAACACTACAAACAACTCCTAAGTGCATCTACAACCAGAGGCTGAGTAAACTGTTATGTTCACAGACCAGAACATGTAACGATGAAACTAAACTTCTCCCAACATGAATGAATCTCACAAACACACCAACAGAGGAAGTCAGACAAAAGAGGGAACATAGGATAGGATGCTATTTACATGACGTTCAAAGGCAGAAAAGCTAATCTGTGGTGATGTTGAGATGGTAGTTACTTTGGGGGCTCAGAGACCAGAAGGGACATGAGGAGGGCTCGGGTGGGAAGGCTGGTTCCACGGGTCTATTCAGTTTTTGGAAATTCAGCAAGGAGTACATTTAGGATTTGTGCAAGTTTCTGTATGCATGTTAGACTTCCATAAAAATCCCTTAAAACTAAGAACAAACAAAAAAATTAAGTAGGGTGGGTTCTAGAACATTCCTCAAAAGCTGCATGCCTTCTGTGAACCCAGGACCCAAATCCATATCCAGGACTTCCTGGAGTGCTGTTTAAACAACCCTGATCTAGTCCAGCCCCTTCACTCTATGAACACTTCAATTCCCCCACTTTAAAGGAGGGAACTGAGGATGGAGAGAAGACACCCACCAGGTTATGTAGATGCGAATGGCAGAGCCAGGCCTAGAACGCAGTCCTCAAGGCTCAGAAAAGAGCAAAAACTGAGGCAAATCAAGGCAGTGTAGTGCAATGGACAGGTATGTGGGTACTGCCAGCTGGTGGCTGGGGCAGTCACTCAACCCTCATCTGAAAATCAGGGGCCATAACAGTACCCAGCTCAGGGCTGCCATGAACATGAAGTGCTCAAAGACATCAGCCAAGATGATTGATGTTTCTATCAAGGATGCCAGGTCACAAGAGAGAAAAGAAAAGGGCTCGTGTGTGGTTAGCACGATCATGCTGGGCGCCACCAAGGGTGCCTTCTGACCTCATGCAATCCCCTCACAACCCTTCAAAATGAGATTAATGGACCCATTTTACAAATAAAAGTATGGAAAACCTGAGTGGTAGTCATTACCAGGTAGTGGTAGGCACTCCAGGCAGTGAAGCGAGGAACGCCTGGTCCAGAGGCTCCAAAGAGTAGGAAGCTACATTACAGCTGCTTGAATCATGGGGACCAAATGAGGGCTTTCCAGGAGCAGGGCCTGAGGAAAGGTCCCTGCACAGCCTCACCTCTTACAGCCCCACCTTCCTGTGTGCCTCCCTCAACTTGGCACCAGCCAGCCCTCTCTCAGCTCCAGACCTGTGTGCCCCACCCCAGGGACACCCCACCCTATTGAAAACTTCTCCTGCTCCCTCCCTCAGCCCAGCCCTTGGGCATCACAGGCACCACACCCTATCTTCACTGCTTCTCAACATCCCACATCAGATCCCCCTCCCTGCCCACAGCCCAGCCCAGCTCAGGCCTTGTACTCCCCCACCTGGAGCACCTCCCTCTCCTTCAGCCTCCCTTATGCACCCAGGAACAATTCTGACATTCCAATCTGGCCCTGCCCCTTCCACTCAACACCTTCAAGGTTCAGGGTAAGCATAAATGAGTCCTTCAGAGACTCTGTTGCAGCACTTACCACCCCTCCATGCTTACTAGGTGCCAGGCACCACTCTAGGCCCTGGGGACAGAGCAGGGAGTAAGACAAGTCCTGACTGCCTCTTGTCCAGATGCCCACGCTGACTCAAGTCTGAATCCCCAAGTATCTGACATAGGCCCTGTTTCCGGACAAGTCAAAAAATGTTAGTGAAGCAGCAGGCACATCTGGCTGTGCACACAGAGCCAGCTACCTCCACATCCAATCCGACAAATGCTTCCTGAGGCCCCTGCTTCTGTGGCTTCCTGGCCAGATGCCCAGCCCTGCCTCCTTTATGCACCCACCTCCTACACAGCTTCTAAAGCCCAGTCTAATGCCACCTCCTCTGTGAAGCCTTCCTTGGGCCTTCCACACCGGAGTCATTTCCCCTTTCTGTGTGAGAATCACTGTGTCTATGCCTGTCTCCTCCATTGAACTGGGATCCCCTCCCCTCAAAAGCAAGGAAACCATGAGGCCATGTGTGACTCATTCCTGTACCTCCAGAATTTGTGTAAAGCTCGGCACTCAGCAGCTTCAGAAAATATTTGTGGAATGAATGAATCCATCAAGAGAATGAATATCAGGAAGAGAACACTAGCTCCGAGGCCTTGAGAAGAAGAGATAAGTGCGAGAAGAAGCTTGAACTCCCTAGGATCATGGCTCTGCTCTCTGGACACCCCCTCCCTGACCTTTGCCCTTGCTCCCCACCAAGGACCCTATCTCTTCAGGCCCCAGAAAGGCCCTTGAACTGGCAACACTCCCACAAAGCACAGAGGTCCGACTTCTGCCAGCCAGCCTGCCTGGCCCACAGGGATCTCAGTGAAGCTGTTACAAAGTGTCTGGTTTCCTGTCTGCAGGCCATCTGTCCCTCCCCAGCAGGATCACTGGCCCTTTTCCAGAGGGACTCGAAGTCTACTTTTAGATCAGGAGTTCCCTAGGGACTGAGGGAATGGTCCCTCGACACTGCTTTAGGGGCCTCTTGACCTCCTGTAGAACCTGTGGTAATGCTTTCAACCTCAGCATCCATAGCACTAGCCAGCTCAGCTCACAGAGACATTGCCAGCCGACCAGGGACTTTGCTGCTACAAAGAGCATGCCCAGCCCCTAAGCCCAGCTGCTCCGGAAAGCTTCCTGCTCACCAGATCCTGTGTGTCACCCCTCCCTGACCTCCTAGAGGCCATTGTACCTAGCGAGTGGCAAGGTTGCAGGGGAGAGGGCATGGCCTCGAAGACTGACACTCAGCTCCAGCAGGGACTTGCTGTGGGACCTGTTTCCTTACCTTCAAAAGAAGGAAAATAAGACAAACCTTATAGAGTAGCTGAGAGGTTTAGAGTGACACCTGGAAAGGGCCTAGCACAGTGCCTGTGCAGAACAGTGCTCAGTAAATATTCGCTGACCCACAAGGCCTGGCTCTGGTCTGGCAATTGCAGGAGCAGCACCAGCGGGCTGAGGACAAGGAGGGGCCAAGAGGCCTGGAGATTCAGAGTACAGGCTCTGGGGCCGCAGAGACTCACTTCCGTCCTGACTACGCCACTTACTTGCTGTGAGACCCTGGGCAAGTTGCTTCACCTATCTGGGCCTCGGTTTCCACATCTTCAAAATGGGCATTAAATAGGTTAACATGTGTGTCAACACACTCAGCAAGTGTGACAAAATGACCACTCCTGACCGTGACTGACGGTGCCCTGCCTGCGCGGCCACATGGAATGCTCACGGCGCTCCTGTGAGCCAGGCCTTCCTCTCCACTGTGCAATGAACGGCAGGCTGCGGAGCCCCGGCTGGGCTGCTGTGAGGACAGAGTCTGTGCCTCCCTTGCCCTGGCAGCGATTAGGATGGTAACACCTGGGCCCAGTCCGGGGTTGTTGGGTGCAGGAGTCCCATCCCCACTGTGCTGTGTGCTTTGCCAGCTGAGGCATCCCTCCTCCTGACCAGGACTGGGCTGGGCACCACTCAGGAAAGGCCCCTTCGTTTACTGCCGCCCCACAAGGGCCACTCACCAAAATGGTCGTGACCACCAGCGTCTTGTTGGCCAGCGTCTGTGACAGGTTGATGTCCAGGGTGGTGGCGTTCATGGCCAGGGTCCGGTTAGAGTACCACACCCCAATCTGGGGAGGAGAGGGGTGTGGTATTCTAACCGGTGGGGTCCCTCCCAGCCCTCCCTCCCTTCCACCTCCACCCACCTCACCCAGTCAGGGCTCTGGCTTCACCCTGGGCCTGCTCACCTCACGGTGGCCCTGCGGGGACTTCTCTAGGATACGCAGAGTGTAGTTGGTCCTTTGCCCTTTGCTGTTGAATTCGACCCGCCCGGTCAGCCCGTCATACTCTACCTAGCAGGGTGGGAGGTGGCCAGAGGGAGGGGTAACAGGGGCCCAGAGATATGGGTGGGAGAGGCCCAGAGGGAAAGAGACAGAGGTGGAGGGGACAAAAGAGAGGGAGAGGGACCAGGAAGGACCACAATTAAACCAGCAAGACCACACACCAGCAAACGTGGGGTGATGGAACACAGACACAGGACACAGCAATGCAGGCAGGCAGAGGAAAGCCAGGAAAGAGGGACAGAGGGAAGAGCAAGGAAGAGGCGCAGAGGAAGCAAGAGGCATTGGTGGGGTTGGAGGTGAGGGAGAGGGCAAAGGGCCAAAAGGTGGACACAGTGAGTCCCCCACTGGTAGCAGGCCTATCGCCCTCAGCCCTCCCACTCCCAGCTCACCATGCGCAGGTAGTTCATGAGGCTGGTCCCATGGGGCCAAATGTTGGACGACGTACAGGCCAGTGGCTTCACACCGATCTCCTGGCTGCGGTTCAGCTCTCGGACGGCGCTCACCACCACATGCACAGCATCAAACATCAGGGCAGCCGACAGCTGAGATGGGCAGAGGTGGAGTGGGACAGGGAAAAGGCAGCTTAGCCAGGGGAGTCTCCGAGCCCCATGGTGCTGCTCCCAGCCCTCAGACAACTCTCTCAGGGCATCAGGGAATGCATGTGACAGGGAAAGGTGTGCATGCTGTCAAGCCTCCATGGAAGCATCTCTTCCTGAATGTGTGTGCCCATGTGTCTGTTCTGGGGAGGGCTGTCCAGGTGTGCCTGGACAGCCAGTGTGTCACCCCCAAAGGGAGTGTTCATGGGCCTGAGGGTGAGGGTGTGCCTGGGAATCTGCATGGCTGTGTGGCTGATGCAGGCAGTAGACATTGGCCACAGCCCCTCTCTCAGTGTGCCTAGGGATGTTTATGTGGGTGGGGCTGGGCAAATGTTCCTATTTGTTTATACACAGGGTGGGGCAGGGTGTCTAGGAGGCAGGAGCACAGAATGGCTGTGAGCCCAGGCCTGGGAGACAGGCAGGCCTGAGCTGAAGACCCAGTTATACTATTCCCTGTAGTGTGTCAAGTCCCCTCTCCTCTCTGAACCTCAGTTTCCTCCCCTGTATAGTGGGGATAATCGCCATCTCTGCTTCTGAACATTAGGGTGGGGATCAAGCAAGATAAAGAACTCAAAACAGCGCTTGGCTCACAGTGAGGGCTCCAGACAAGCTGTCACTGATAGTGATAGACGACACGGGGAGTCTGAGTGTGTCTGCGAGAGTGCGCCTTAGCTGGGTGGATGTGCAGGTGCCCGTGCTATGCGGGTAGGAGCAGGGTGTGAATGAATGTGCCTCTGTCTGTGTCCGTGTGTGCGCATCCGACTGCATGGCTCGGTATCTGTGAGTTTCTGCACAGGTAGGACTGTCTCAGTATTTTGGTATATGACTAGATGTCTGTGAACAAACCCACATAAATATGCATCTTTTGTATGTTTGCATTTATTCAAAATATATTTTCAGAAACCTACTCTGAGCCAGGCTGTCTTAGGTGCTGGTATATAATGGTGAACAGGGAGAAAGCTCTGCCCTCAGGGAACTTACAATCTTGAATGTGTATCTATATCTAAGCAAAATATAGAGCAAGCCACATGGAGATTAGATAAGCAAAGACAGGTGCTGTGGAGGAAAATACTGCAGGGGGGGGGGGGACTATATCGTGGGGCATTTCCCATATTTTAAAATGGGACCAAGGAAGGCCTCACAACTAAGGAGACATGTGAGCAATGACTTGGTGATGAGGAAGCGAGTCACCAGTTCTCTTGGGAAGTGAGTGTGAAGCAGAGGGGAGAGCAAGTGCACAGCCCTGAGGTGCGCATGTGCCAAGGCGGCAGAGGCACCTGGAGGCCAGTGTGGCTGCTGTGCTCTGGGAGGTGGAGAGGAGGACAGGTCAGACTTACTCAGAATGAGGCTGCATGGCACGTACATGGGAAGTGAGTGGGAGCACCAGAGGCTCTGAGCACCAACTGGCAGAGACCTGAAGGGGCCCAGAGTATCTGTGTGCAGAGTGTCTGTGTGCAGGGGCGAGGGGGTGTGCTCACCGCAGGTCCCGGGTAGGTGCTGGCTTCGCAGTTCTCTCTCCAGGACATGTTGAGGCTGCGCACAAACTCGGGGTAGAAGGGGTGCGAGGTGTTGAACATGGAGAAGCCCAGGATGTTGGAGGAGTCCTCCACAATCCCGTCCAGGTGCAGGATGGGGAAGTCCTGGGACAAGAAGAAGGGTGAGGCCAGGGCCAGGCACCACTGTGCAGATACTATGGGAGGGAATGCAGGGGCTGCTGGGGGTACGCACCATGGTGGTGAGGATGTACTTGTAAAACGCTGAGATCATGCCTAGCTCTGAGGCCTGGAGGACACCGGCAGGAAAAGAGGCGACCAGAGAAGCAGAAATGGGGAGAAACCGAGAGGGGAAGAGATATTTAGAGGCAAGCTTGGCAAGAAGGTACTCTATGGGAAATACAATAAGAAACACCCAGAGATAGAGAGAAGGAAGAAGACACATGTGGGCAGAGGGAGACCTTGATCCCTCATGTCCAACCCTGCTAACTGGTAGCCCAGCTGGGATGTAGGCGCCTTGAATGTCTGTCCCTCTTTAGGTTACTTAAAAGACTGCCCTCTGGAGACAGGCACAGGGACACCTCAGAAACAGGGCAGATAGGGAGGATAACCCATGCTGCCCACCCAGGTTTGGGCTGCTGATGTGTAAGGCTCAGCCTGGCCTCAAGTCAGACAAACCACCTCTGCCATCTTTAAAAGCACTTTGCAGCAAAAGGCAGCCAATATGGCTCTTAAGATTCATGTTTTGAGACCCCTTTCTCACAGCCCTTGAGGAGAACAAAGCTAGAAGACCAGGCCAGGAATGCCCAATTCTGCCCCATAATGGACATTAGACCTTTAACCAGCACCAGCCTGCATTGCCTGAGTGTCAGGAGCTGTGATTGGGTTACAGCCCAATCACGACAGGGATGGACAGGCCCAGGAGGAAAGTGACCACAGGTCCCTTGGCTCACACGGGAGGGCCAGGTCTCCGGCCCAAGCTTGCGGCCTCAGCAGAATCTTTTCTACAAGCCACCTGCCCCCAGAGTCTACGGGTGCTGTCCACACATCTTCTTATAAGCTATGATCAGCAGTGACATATGGCTTTAATTTTTTAAAAACTGGAAAAAGCCCTAGCTGGTTTTGCTCAGTGGACAGAGCGTCGACCTGCGGACTGAAGGGTCCCAGGTTTAATTCCTGTCAAGGGTACATGCCCGGGTTTCAAGCTCAATCCCCAGTGGGGGGCGTGCAGGAGGCAGCATGTGGCGGGCCAGCATCTGATGCTGGCCCCTCCTGGGTGGCCTTGAGCCTGACCGTTCCCCTCAGGAACCTAGCTTCATCATCCACAAGTGATCATCACACATGCCCACAGGGTAGGTGAGAGCCAAACTAAAGAATACATGCAAAGTGCCTCAATATACAGCAGAACATGCACTTCATAAGGACACTAGGAAGCTCTCCCTAGTCTGGGCCAGGCAGGGTCCCCATCAGTTTCCCTACCCCTCACTCATCAACAATCCCCACAACCCACTGAGGCAGGAGCTGTTCACAGGGAGGGGAGGCACCTGTCCAGGGTCCAATGAGGGCTGCAACTGGGGGACAGATGAGCCAACGGACAATCTTCCTAATTATCTCTGTGCATAGGAAGCAGGTCTCCGTACCCCATGTGACCACTGAGGCCCATGGCACTAGGCCATGTGCTCTTTTCCCCCATGTTTCTGCTCCTGACCCCGTAGGGAAGCAAAGACAGGGGACCCACCTTACGGAGGATGAGGTGGGAGATGGAGGCGTTGGCGTCGATGATAATGGTGGACACCTTGTCATCTCGGATCTCCTTGAGCAGTGGTGTGGGGTCCCGGCTGTCATCCAGCATCCTCACTGACAGCGTCTCCTTGGAGATGAGAAAGCCTCGAACCAGCTCCTCCAACCGCAACAGGCCTGGAGGTGGGGTCAGTCCTGGATCAGAGCCCCTCCATGTGCCTGAAATGGGGTGAACACTCCCTCCACCTCACCACCACGGGGGAACTGGGGAGGGGACGAGGGTGCACTCAGGAGATGGGCATTTGTCTGTCCAGAGTGCAGTTGGCTGTCTTGGGGTACCAGACCCAGGGCCCTGATGCCTAGGTCCTCCCAAATTAAAGCCCCAACCTGCACTTCCTCCTGACCTCCAGAGTCCCTCCTCCTGCCACCTTCTGCCCCCACTGATATATGTGACAGGCATCTCATACTTCACATGTGCAAAGCCACATTCTGCTCTTATTGTCCAAAACAGCATGTCTCCCGAGCTGGTGAACAACTCCAGCCTGCCAGTCTCTCAGGCCAAAACCCTAGAGAGCAGCCTGTCCTCCTCTCTCTCTCACGCCCACACCCAATCCGCCCAAGCTCTGCCTTCAAAACACATCAGATCCATCGACTGCACACGCCACCATCACTGCCCTGGCCCAAGCCAGCGTCATCGCTCGCCTGTTACAACAGCCACACTTGCTCCCAGAGTCTGTTCCCTACTCTGCAGCCAGACCATGGAAAGCAGATGTGTCCCTTCTCTGCTCCAAATCTTTTAACAGCTTCTCGGTCATTCAGAACGAAGGCCAACATCTGCAAGGCCCGCTCCATCTGCTCACCCTCATTCTCTCCTGACCTCATCTCCCCATCATCCCCTCTTCCCAGCCACACAGGTGTCCTCCATGTCTCACACTGCCCTGTGGCCTTTGCACTTGCTGTCCCCTCTGCCTGGAACACTATTCTCACAGATCCCCGCACAGCCCCCACCCTCCCACCTTCAGGTCCTCACTAAATATCACGCCCTCGATGACTCCCACACCCACCGTTCCATTTCAAATTGGGCCCTCATTCCAGCACACCCAATCCCTCCACTGTTTGTTCACAGGACTTTCCCCTTTTGACTAAACAACATCCTCATTTATGTTCATTTATGTCCTCCCTTTAGAATTTAAGGTTGATAAGGGCAGGGATTCCGGCCTGGCTTGCACGCTACCATATTCTTAATGTCAAGCAAAACACCTAGCACATAGCAGGTGTTCAATAAACACCCTCTGAGACAGGAGTTCTTCTGGAAGTTTCTGAGCATACCCTCTCTCGCCAGCTGCACACTCACAGACCCACAGCTTCTCCAGCATCTCCACCTAAATGTCTCACAGACCTCCCCCAACTGTGCCCCGAATGACTCTCCTCCTCCTCGACAGACCTGGTCACAGTTCATGAGCCTGCCCTCTCTCCTCCATCACACTCTTCTCAAATCTGTTGTCTTTCTATCCCACAGCCCCACCTGGGCCCTAATCAGTACCATGTCCTCTGCCTTTTCCTAGTCTCCCTACCACCTCTCATGTCACCCTCTAGTCCACTCCCTGCACTGTAGCCAAAGACTGCTTCCTGCACCACAGTGGGGCCCTGTCCCTCATCCCACCCTATGTGAGAACCTTCACTGTCTTCAGGATAATACAGACGCAAGGTCCTGCCTCATGCTCCTATACTCCTGCCGCAGGGAGCAACTTTGAGCCTCTCAAAGGGGCCACACTTCCTCGGTCGCAACTTTACCTACCATGACCTCAGAACATGCTCCTCCTACCCCCACCCTCAGGTCCAGCTGTGATGTCCCTTTCTCGGGAAGTCAGGCTCCAAACATCCCAGACTTTGTGCTTCAACAGCCCTACTCAACTTCTAACAGACCATGTGTCACTCCATATCACAGCTACTCAACAACTGTGTCCTCCACTGGCTCGGAGGTCCCTGAAGTCAGGGGCCATGCTGAGTAGGGGCCTTGTACCTGACAGATGCTTCGCACTATCTATGGGCTAAATGGTTCCTTCGGGAAGTGGGGGGAGGGCTCAGTGGAACCAGAGCTCTGAGTTCCTGAAGGGGAAGGAATAATGGGGACCAAGAGATCGTTCCAACCCGGGGGGCAATCCACACTGTTCAACTGTGGGAGACTAGGTCACTAGGGAAGGGAGTTTGGGGAACAGAAAATGAAACGTCCAGTTTCCTCCCTCACACTCGGCCTTGGCGCAGATGAGGCTGGCCGAGGGGTAGTTGAATGACTTGAGGATTCGGGAGACGGCCAGGCTGACATCCTCGTTACTGGGGTACAGGCTGACAGATGCAAAACGAAGGTACTGGAGGCGAGGCGTCTCCTCGGGACCCACCTTGATGTGGGGGATCTGGACAGAGAAGGAGCTTTTGCTTCTATCCTGCTCCCTCCTCCCCATCCTCACCTCCCCGGGACCCGCACCCTGCTTCACCTCTTTCTCCCCACAGATATGGCTCACGGTGGAAGCAGATGCAGGGCTGGAGGAAGGCCCCAGGACAGACACGACCCCCTTAGGCAGGATCTGACACACTGCGAGGGGTAGGAAGAAACCACAGAGTCAAGGACCCTTTTCCTCCTCTCCGTCCCCACCACCAGGGACCCCCCCCAGCCCAGGAGTGGAACTGACACTCCTCCACCATGAGGACCCAGGAGCCCAATCCCTGCCACCCTATGGAGGGGCACAGAGAGAGACAGGGAGACATGGCAACAAAAGGACAAGTCAAAGCAAAGAAAAAGAAAAGGACGGATGAAGAGGAAACACCAGGGGCCTCCTCTGGCTAAAGATCCAGTGCCAGGTTACTCAGCCTGCGTTTTCCCCAGCCTTTCTAACCATGCTACAACCTTAGGTGCATCCAGCATCCCCTCCACCCCGAGCCCGTGGCCAAGGTCCCCTCTACCCTCTGCACTCCAAACACCATGCTTCTGTTGCATTTGCTTGCTCTACTTTCTTCCACATTCTTTCCCTTAAACATGTGTGCATCTCAAGCCTCAAAGGTAGAAGCTGTTGCTTTGGATGCCCAATGCCCATTCTCAAGGCAGAACCCTGACTTTTCCTCAGGGAAGCCTCGTGGTTCCCAGGATAGATTGTCACCTGACCCAGGATTACAGAACCATATTGTCCTGGCCACTGTGATTGGTTCAGAGACTGAAATGGACCCACTCCAGGCCTTGTGGAGTCTTCCCCAGGTCTTCTGCTACAATTATTACTTTGGTAATAATGGGTTTGCTAAATTGGTGATATAAGTTCTGAGCTGGTGGGAACACATTGCCACCAATTGGGAAGGACATTCCTGAAAATTAAGCCAACTTAGAGGAAAGCAGGACCCAGTGTTGAAGACGGAGATCCCTGCCACATTCAAATAAAAGCATCAAAATGAAATGCCTATAAAGATTGATTAAAAAACACACACACACAAAAAAAAACGAAATGCCTTATCTTCCTCCAAACTTGCTCCTTCGGTAGTTTCCACACTGGTGAGGGCCTACCATTCAAATACCTGGAAATGTGACCCTTGCTTTCAATCTATCTCCCTATAGCCAATTAGATACCAAATTTTCTTTTTTTCTCCTCAAATCTTCTCACATCTATCTTCTCTTCAACTCGTCCTCCCTGCTCTACTTAGGGCTCTCAACTCAGCCTCCTCACTGGTCACCTGAATCTAGCCTCTGGATTCACTTTCACCAGCTCCCTGGTTGGTTTCATTCCCAGTCAGGGCACATGTCAAGATTGTGGGCTTAATCTCCAGTAAGGGTGTGTGCAGGAGGCAACAGATCAATGTTTCTCTCTCAATTTGATGTTCTTCTTCCCCTTCCCCTCTCCCTTTAAAAATCAATAAAAAACATATTTGAAAGAAATATAAGCTTCATAGTTGACCAAGGACACTTAGCCCCCAGAGCTGAGTAAAACCCACTGGTCTAAACCCACCGACAAGTCCTTACTGCCTACAGGTGAAGGCAATGTTTTCAAGTGATTACCTCAGGCTTCCTGGAGCTGGCCTGCCAGCCTGCCCAACCTTACCTCCCACTGCCCAATCACACTCTAGTCCAGATGTCATCTCTCATGATCCCGCTAAACATGTCCTGAGTCCAGGTGGTCAGGATGGGTGTAACCCCACACCCTGTTCCTTGGCTCTGAATACCAACCCCCCCCCCCCCCCCCCAGCTCCAGACTAAAAGCACATGCCTGGAACACCATCTGTCTCCTCATCCTCTATCCCAGCTTCTCCCAATTGATATTCTGTGCTGCCAAAGTCAAAAAGTCCAAGAAATGTTACTCTTCTTTCTCCCTCTCAGTGATTTGAAATATACATGAACATAATAAATGCTCTGATAAGGCCTGCAGGAAAGAAATCTGTGTAAAATGCATTTGAAGGCAGCATCTCCTAATAGTCTATAACTCCAGCATGTTAACAGACATTCATTGAATCCACACTGTTCAATGAATACTTATGTACCCCTACTATGTGGCGTAATTTGAGCAACAGCACTCTTTATATATATCTTGTTCATTTTTCAGAGCTCAACTTCAGTATAGCCTTCTCCAGAATGCCTTCGCTAATCCTTCCCCTGAGGCCCCTGCTTTATTGCCTGGGCCTCTCATTACTCAGCTCTGGGGGCTAAGTGTCCTTGGTCAACTATGAAGCTTCTTTTTCTTTAAATATGTTTTTTTTAAATTGATTTTTAAAGGGAGAGAGGAAAGGAAAGAAGAATATCAATTTGAGAGAGAAACATTGATTTGTTGCCTCTTGCACACACCCTTACTGGAGATTAAGCCCACAATCTTGACATGTGCCCTGACCAGGAATCAAATCAATGACCTTTTGGTGCACAGGAGGATGCTCAGCCACTGACAACACCAGCCAGGGCAAAGCTTATTTTTCAAATGAGGCCCTCAGGGCAGGACTGGGCCTGATGCCCTCCCCATCCCCATCCCAGCAGCACCATCTCTGAGAGACAGGCACACCTGATATGAAGGAAGGGGCAAATGGAGCTAGAAGAGGACAAGGAGAGCTAAGGAGGTGTGGGGAGTGGGCCCACTGAGGGCTACTAGCTTGCCCAGCCTCACCCCACACCCCTGGGGCCCTGCTCACTGGTGTCCGTGGTCTCGTACTGGCTGTCCCGCTGCAGCTCAAAGATGTCTACTTCCACTCGGGCCTTGGCTGGGACTTCGATGATCCCGTTGATCTGCTCCCGGGCCAGGGCCAGGGCCAGACGCTCACCACGGCCACACACCGTCTGATCATCCAGGATTGCAGCTGAGAGGACACAGGGGTTGGGGACCAGACTCCGAGATCCTGGGGTGGGAGTGGGGATGGGAACTGGGGTCTGGACTCCTGGATCGGAGGCTGAAAGAGAACTGGGTCCAGGGAAGAAGTAGCTAGGGACTGTGGCTCCTCAATGCTGAGGGAAGCTGAGAGCGGAGGCCCGGATCCCTGGGTCCTGAGGAAACGGCCTGTTTGGGTTCCCAAAGAGGAGCCCGGTGTCCGACGGGAGGGTCTCTGAGGAGGCAGGGGCAGGGCTGCAGGGCCTCACCCATGCGCAGTGATGAGAGCACCTGGCAGCTGGGGCTGGCAAAGGCGACAATCAGCAGCAGCAGCAGCTCAGCCGGCATCTTCCTCCCCTCCTCATGGGGACGCAGCTGCCGCGGCCCCCACTCGCCACCTGCAGGGATCGCCATGGGGAGACTGAGCCTCTTTGAGGACTGCTGTGACCACAGACCTGGGACATTGTGAGTGAGCTCTGAAGGGCCCTGCCCTCATTAGTGCTGAGGGTATTGCTAGGAAGGAAGCTCAGGCTCCAGGAGCACTACCAGGGAGAAGCTCATAGCACTGAGGCACTGAGTGGGGGAGCCACTGCTAGGGAATATTCACAGCTACCAAAATGGGAGGGAGGCATGATAAGAATCTTAGGTAAGGGCCAATACCAGGGACCATCCCCACCCCAACAGGAAACCAAGAAGTGCCACCCCCAACCCATTCCGCCCTTGGGCCCTTGTCTCTGGGCAGGCAGCTGTTACTAGGCAACAGAAACCGGCTGGAGAGGATGCAGTGGTTGCTAAGCAACCCCTCCCAGGCCTCACTTGCCACCTTCCTGACGTCCCTGGTTCCCACAATTCCACAGGGAGAGAGGCCTGGACATCCGGGGTCTGGAGGGTAGAGTATCCGGGAGTTAGGAAACTTGGAAAGAGAGGAAAAGATGGAGAGACCTACACATAGAGACACATAGACAGACCTAAAGCAGCTAAGGGGCTAAAAATGTAAAGACAGAAAGGTGGGAGGGGGGGAGAGGGTAAAGAGAGAGACAGAAAGAGAAAGAAAGGCTAAGAGGGAGGAAATATGAAAAGACTCAGGAATGGAGAAAGGGAAACACAGGCAGAAATACAAGGGACCAGAAAGATGATAAGAAGACAGGGAAATGGGGCTAGAAATGGCGAGGACAGAGAATGAGAGTCACCGGGAGATAAGGAGAGAAGTAGGTGAAAGAAGGAGAGAAGGGACTAGAAGGTAGGGAGACATGGAGATGGAGAGAGAAGGGGCAGGATAGGCAGAAGAGAGAGAAGTCAACATATAAGAGAGACAGATAGAACAGGAAGACAGAGAATGGAGACACAAATCCACTCAAGATGCCACCAAAGAGAGCCAAAGGGAAAAGCAAGGCAGGGAGTGCACTGTCTGCCAAAGAAGGTGCCAAACTGGCCCCCCCAGCTCTGGGTAGCTAAAGATTGGGGGGAGACAGTGTATCTTTGCTTCCCACAATAGCTCCCCACCTCTAGTGAGTTAGAGACTCCTGTGGGTACCCCAGCCTTCTGCACGATGACCACTGGGCATGAACAACTTGAGCCAGATGTGTGACTTCCCCTGGACAAAGGCCATGCCCGATGGGTTTCTTTGGGAGAGGGTTAGTGTGAGCCTAGAGTGCTGGGAGATAAACCTTGGGGTTACCCTGTACTCCACCCAATCCCCAATGAAGGAGGACTTGAGCTGGTGAGATGACAGAATGAAACCTGCCTCGAGAGGGTATAGATACAATGAAACACTTCAGACTGTCTCTTCTGGCCGGGAAGACCTAGGCCAGGGCAGCAAGAGACCCAATCAGTCCCCGCTCTACTCCCAACTCCCATGTGACCTTCAGCAAGGCGGTCTGTCTGTCTCTCTGTGGGAGCTTCTAGGAAGATAGGCTGGGGGAGTGTAAAAGGGCATGCTGGACAAGCTGGGGACTGCAGACTGCAATTTGGGTCTAAGGTGAAGGCCTGTCAAGAGTGGAGGAGCAAGGAAAATTGGGAGACCCAGAAGGTGAACTCACAGGGGAGGGAAGTGGAGGCTGGGGCTGGGAGAGAGGCAGGAATGAGGCTGTCATCCTGAGACACCAGGGGCTTTGGGGCAAATCAGGGAGCTGAGGAAGATACAGGGCCAAAAGGGCAGGGGCCCGAGGGTGGCAGACACAGTGGAAGCAGAAAGACAGAGCGCAGGGCCAGGGATGGGGGCCACAAGATGGACACAGGTGCATAGGAAGTGACAGACAGAAAGACAGACAGACCTAAAGTAACTGGACTAAATAAGAGAGGACGCACAGACATCATCTAGGAGACAACAAAGGAGACAGACCAGAGAGAGGGTGTGAGAGAGGAAGAGAAGGCAAGCCTAATTCCCAGGCTCAGGTTGAAATACAGCAGCAAACTGAGCAGAAGGGACTGAATTAGGGGTCTTGCCAGGGGAGGGAGAGACAAGTGGGCATGTGAGATACTTATATCAAAGGCGAGAAGGTAAATGGGGTGAGAGAAGGCAAATGAGGTGAGAGAGAGGGCAAAAGAAATGACAACAGGTACAAAAAGTGTGTAGAGGGAAAAAATTGCAAAGCTCTGAAAAGAGGGCTCCTCAGAAAGAGACAGAGAAAAAAAAAAAAGTGTGTTAGAGCCACACAGCAGATCTATAGAAGAAGGAGTAAGATTGAGAGAGACAGACAGACTCACAAACTAGTAGAGAGAGGGAGTGAGAGTCAGGGAGGAAAACTGAGGTGGAAGACTGAGAGATCTGGAGGGGCACAGGCAGGGACAGGCAAAGCACTCATAGGAGAGGAGACAGCCTGTATAGAGGTGCACCCACTCAGAGTGCCTGCAGGCACGTGGCGGACCTGGGGCACTGAGGGGGTGGTGAGGGGAGCAGTGGGAAGAGGATTGGGGGAATTGTGGGCAAGGCCACCAAGGAAAAGAAAAGACAAAGTCACAAAATGGACCATGGAGTGGGGAAGTGGCTAAGGAGTGAGCAATGGAGTGGGTACACCCAGAGTGAGTCTGGGGAGGAAAGCAGAAAATGAGAGAAGGCAGCTGGCCCCCAAGCCCAGGGTTAAAGAGGGAGGAGGCCAGGTGGGCAGAGGCCCAGGCAGAGCACCGGGTAGACAGAGAGAAGTGGCAAGAGGGCTAGATGTGGCATGACAGCCTCCAGAAGAGACAAGAGACGGGAGTTTGGTGAGAGAGAGAGAGATCAACAGAGACACAAGAAATAGTTAGGCTACCGGCAAAGAAGAGAGAAGTTGGACAGAGTCAGAAGCCAGACAGCCACATGAAATGGAGATTCAAAAACAGAAAGACTTTTCCAGGAGCTAGAGACCAGATGGCATGGGGATGGGTCTATGGCAGCGGAGAGGACGAGGCTCAGAGGAAAGAAGGGGGAGACGGAGGAAACAGTGGGAGCGTGGAGCCAGGCTGGAGAGAGCAGGGGCGGAGATGTGCCAGGAGTCCGGAGGAGTGAGACCACAAGCCAGCCCCTCAGGACCCCAGGGTGAGCTGTGTACCCAGAAGAAGGGGTGAGAAAGGGCCAAGGGGAATGGAGGTTAGGGACAAGGCAGACCCTGGTGGGGGAGGGTATTTGCCGGTCCCAGGAGCAGAGAAATGTCCCCCACCCCCCACCCCCTTCGCCAGGCGGCAGTAAGTACAGCCTTCCAGCACTCAGGCCGGCCCCAGCCCAACCCCTGCCCTGCAGACACTTACGGATCCTGGTGGGACGGAGGGCAGGGCTCCCTCGAGGCCCGAGAAATGACAGCAGGAAGATGCTCTGGCACTGGGCGGTGGTGTGGCTGGGGCAGGGAGGGGGGGAGAGGGCAGTCCACAGGGCCCCCTCCCCCACCTCCGGTGGTGGCCCCAACTAATCCAAAACGGGGGCTCCCCGGAGCAGGGAGAAAGGACAGGTAGGAGAGGAGAGGGTGGGCCGAGGAGGGGAGGAAGGAGAAAGGAGAAAATGGAGGAAAGAAGGGGAGAGAGGAGAGGGCGAAGGAGCAAATGGAGGGGAAGGAGGGAGGAAAGGAGAAGAGGAAGGTGAAAATGGGAAGGAGGGTGCACAGGCAAAAGCCGGGGGAGGGGGAAGCTGGCCCAGGAAAGGGCCCCTGCCCCCTCCCCTAGCCGGGCAGGCCTGGGGGGGCCACTGGGGGCGAGGACTGGGTGGAGACAACGAAGCCAGCCATCAGGAGAAGTGGGGGAGGGAAGGGCTTAATGGGGGGGAGGGGGCCACCCCTTCCCCCCTCCCCCCAGCCTTGGCCCAGCCCTGGTCTGGAGTCCTCAAGCCCTCAGCCCCCGAGGGAAAAGCATGCTGAGGGTGGGGAGAGGCTGAGGAGTGGAGAGGCTGGGGAGGATGTGCTGCTGAGAGCCAAGAAGGGAGCAGACAAGGTGGAAAGATGGGAGGGAGGGAGGGGGAGGAAGGAGAGAAGCAGGTGGAAGAGGAAGGCAGAGGAGGGTGGGGGTGTCCCGGGGGTGCCCAGCGCAGGGCCTGGGTGAGAGGGCCAGGCCACCGACTCCTGGTCTCCTGTGAGGATCAGCCTCCGGCTCTTGGTCCCCAGCTGCGCCTGCCTCTCTGCTGCTGGCCGTCTCCACTGCCCACTGCCGCCTCCACCACTGCCACTTCTCCTCCTTCTCCCCTCCGAGGCTGAGGCCGCTGCCGGCCCGCCTGCCCGCCGGCTGCCTGCCTGCCACCCGCGCTGGGTCCTGGAGCCAGGGGGGGCGGAGAGATGAGGGAGGCAGGGAGGAGGGCGGGCTGGAGGAAGGGAGGGAGGCAGGCAGAAAGAGAGGAGGGAGGGGAGTGGGGGGGGGGAGCCGGTCGTATTGGCCGGGGTTGGGGGCCCCCTCGAGGAGAATGCTGATGAGGAGAAGGCCCTGCATTGGATGGAGGGCCCACCCCCGGCCCACCCCTCCACCACACCATGCCGCCGCCCTGCCCCGGCAGCCCTTGGGCACTGGAGCCGGTGAGAGGTGGGGAGACCTAATGAGAAGGCTGCGCGGCTGGGGGAGAGAGCTGACAGGGATGAAGAAATATGAAAAGAAGCAGAAAAAGAGCCACTAAGACCCACAGAGTTGGGCCAGGGTCCACAAACCCCACAAGGACAAGGACAGGGGAAAGCCCAGAGAAAAGAGAAAAAGGCCCATGGAGACAAGGAAGCAAACCACAGTGACAACCCAGGACTTCAGAGACAGGGCAGCTGGGGAGCAGAGAGCCCCTGGGGAGACAGAGAAAGGCCTCTGGGAACAGAGAGCCCTCCTCAGGGATGGGGAACGGTCCATGGTGATGAGAGAAGGCAATGGACAAGAGATGCCCACAGACATGGGAACAAGAAAGCACATCACAG